CATCCACAACAACGTCAACTACATCAACAACAACTTCGACAACAACAAAACTTCGTGAGTTATATGATAAATGATCTGTTGTAGTGATTTCCATTATCTAGCTGATGATTGATTCAAATGACTAACTTTAGGAGCTTTGTTTTCTAACTATCCACTATTTTGTGGAACTCACATAAAAACAAATATGAGTGTAAGTTTTCAAGTTCAGGTTTTGCAGCTTCCCTTACCATCCTTAGAGAGTAACTTAAAGACGCTTCCGTGGTTTATACTATTTTATTGCCACTTACTCAAAAAAGATTGTGGACTAGGATATTACTGTGAATATTACTATCATTTCATATTCACACCCTCAAGATTTAATGGCGGAAATGTCGTCTAATCTTATAATTAATGATTTTTTTTTCGATTCTCGAGTGCGGGTTTTTGTCTCTGATCTCAAATAACAGCCATCCACCTTCTGACTCTACCAGAAGGTGAGTTGTTGTGAGTCAGAGCTCCTCTGTAACCATAAGATTCTTCTTCTGTGTTAATATAAATATGAAGACAAATGTTTTTGTTTCATAGCTTGTTCCGTGTTCCTCGCCCAAACTACTTACTCATGTGGCGCTAATGCGGTCTCAATAAAAGGCACCGATGTGAATGGTGACAATATGCCCGATATTATAGTCGCAAGCTATGATACGGCTACTGTCGGTGTTTTCCTTAACTTAGGCAACGGCAGTTTTCTTGCGCAAGTTACTTACTCAACTGGCTCTGGTCCAAACGCAGTTGGAATAGCGGATGTGAATAGTGATAGTAAACCCGATATTATTGTCGCAAACCAGAACTCGAACAACGTCGGTGTTTTTCTTAACACAGGCAATGGTACATTTCTTTCTCAAACTACTTACCCAGCTAGTACTAATCCACATACATTGACACTAGTCGATGTAAATAGTGATACTAAACCCGATATTATTGTCACAAATTATGGTGGATCCAGCGTCAGTGTGCTGTTTAATGCAGGCAATGGCACGTTCCTTTCTCAAATCTTGTATTCAACTGGCAATGGTCCAAGTGGAGTTGTAGCAGTGGATGTGAATAGCGACAACAAACCTGACATTATTGTTGCAAACTATGGTTCGGCTACTGTCAGTGTACTCCTTAATGTAGGTAATGGTACGTTTCTTTCTCAAACCACTTATATGGTGGGCACTGGTCCATTTATGGTAGTAGTAGTCGATGTGAATAGTGATAGTAAACCCGATATTATTGTCACAAACTATGGTTCGAACAATGTCGGTGTACTCTTGAATGCAGGCAATGGTACGTTTCTTTCTCAAACTACTTTCGGGACTAGTACTAGTCCAGCTGGGTTAGCAGTAGCAGATGTGAGTAACGACAACAAACCAGATATTATTGTCTCAAACCAAGGTTCCGCCAACGTCGGTGTGCTTCTTAATGCAGGCAATGGTACGTTTATTACTCAAGTTATTTACGCAGCTGGTGCTAGTCCACGTTCAGCAGCACTCGTCGATGTGAATAATGATGGTGAACTCGATATTGTCGCCTCAAACTCGGGTGGAAGTAGCATTAGTGTTCTCTTCCATTGCTGAATCTTATTCATGAGCTAACGTCTATTTAACTATTGACATTTAATTCATAAACTAAAAACTGCCAACTATATTTGATCGACATCATAAATTTTAATAAAACTGTGATTCAGTGTTGTCGCCTCATCTACTTTTCTTCTGTCATTTCTGCTTTTTGAATTTTTTCTGCTTTTAAGATTTTTTTGTCTCCTATATTTTCAATAAAAACTCTCAATATTTTAACCGATCATTTTGTCAAAATAATCATTTAGCACAAAGTCAGATTGTGAGATCGGATCAACTCTAAATGTTATTACTGTCTCTTACGCTATCGCCAAATTCCAAAAAAAAATTCTTATGTTTTTTATTTTGATTACCTTGCAGTAATGCTCATGTTGATTCTCTGTATTTTCATAAATGCAATATTTAGTCAATGAGAAGCAGAATTGTATGACAACAGAATTAGTGTCAGTTGAATTCAAAATACGTTTGAATGCGACTTTGAAATGTGCTGATATGACAAGTATAGATTATCGAATCAGAATATATTGAAAGCTATTAGGTCAGATGATACATATACATTGAAAAAAATGTTTACTAAATGTATTTATCTATGTTTAATTTTGTTTTTTTTTGACTTTGTACACTAGAAGATAGAATATAATGCTAAACTTTCTTATTATTTTATTATGACTGGGCTTAAGCCATAGTTTAATATTAAAAATTACTTTCTGCTTTTTGAAGAGTAAAAGGTAGCAACACTGCACATTTTTTGAATATAAAGTCACTAAGGATGGGTATTGTGCTGATAGTCACTCGCTCTAACTTATCTTTATCATATTCTTTTGAGAGAGGAATTGATTTTAAAGTGAAATTTCTTTCTTTTATACTTAAAGTAAAGCTAACTGTTATAAAACGCTTTTAACCCTTTGACATTGAATGACGTATATATATACGTTCAAGTTCTAAGGCTACTTATATTTGACTTATTTGTATATTTTATGATACTGTTTTGATATAGATATTAGTTCAGTCCATAAATGTATCATCTTCAATGTCGGATAATACTATTGTTTGAGTTGTACTGTAATTCGTCTTTGTTCTTTGTGTAAATATACTTATCACTTCTCTTTTCTTTCTCACCTCATCCTTCATAGTTCACTACAACTTTATTTCTGAATAAAGGATGAATAATTCTTATGAAAACTTTAGTTTTCGCTATTTTGTCTTGTATTGTAATGACAGTAGCCAAAGAAAAAAGAACAATACAACAATACAATGAACAAATGTTAAATATATCTTACGTCAAAAAGTGAGCCACATGCAATAATTCACGATAGGTTCAATATTGCACGGTCCAGTGGTTTTGTATACGGGAGGTTCTATAGAAAGTTTAGATGATAAATGCACTTGCACAAGCAGTTAGTTGAGTGTTGGTGTGGATGCGTCTGATGATTGAAGAGAAGATACGCACACCCACACACACTTTTATCGGCCGATTAACAAGATCTAATCTACTTAATATAGAAATGATCATGGTTACTTAAACTGTTACAAACATAAGCAGCTCTCACACACATAACTTCTTCAGAAAAAAAATAATGAATCAAAACACGAAGAAATGATGAATGGTCAATGGTCAACGAAAGGTAAAGATAATTTAGCGTCAATCTAGCATCATCTAATGACGCTAGCAATTTGCAAAGTGCATATAGTGTTGAATAATTTGTTAATAAGTTCAAAAAGCGTTGTAATTGTAAGAAATGTGTATGTGTGTCAAGCAGAATTGAGATTTAGGCAAAATTAAACGAAGCTTTAAAATGTTTTTAATGATTATATAAAATTTAAAAGAAATAATTTGATTGTTATTGTGATTACGAGTAACGCTCATCTTTGGATTCGGTCACCCTTTTCCGAAAGAAGCAATACTAGTTTGGTTAGTAAAGTGTTAAGTCCAGCACATATAATAATCAGAGCCGAAAACTGTAAGATTTTCAGAGAATCTCTTCGAAATGTGCTAGGTTGAAGTTTATGCAATAAAAAGTTTGATATAAAATTACACAGTACCACAAACATAATTAACAGTTACAGATGTATAGAATAAGCAACTCTATGGACTTTTCGAGAAGACCTTTTTCAATCATATTTACACATTACCTTTTCTCATTCTGCCCTATCAGACCCTTGAGCAGCCGAAGTGAATAAAAATATCTTCACGTCAGTACTTTACGCTTCAATCAAAGCTGGATGTGATCCGATTCGGAACATGACCAAGAACAAATGTATTCATTTTCATCTGTTATCTATTCCGCGTTGGAGTCCCACCTCTGAAAAAAATACATCTCTCTATTTCTATATTGAAGATCTGTTTTCTAGCTCACCGACAAATATATATTCGAATCTTGTTTATATATTCAAAACTAAAAATTCAGAATAAGATTCAGCTTATAAAACAAGTAACACGTCGAGAGTAGCCGCTTGACGCTCAATTGATCTCAGATGATCATCATCAAATAGAGCTTATTAAATTGTTGTTTCAACTTTAACATCACCTATATTTTCACAAAAAGAAAACAGATTGTAAGATCACTTCAATTCTTCTCGTTAAAGACTCGATTCTTTAGGTCACCACTAAAACTTTTTACACGCTGTGGTTAATTGGCAGTCGATCGTCGGCGTTTCTCCGATTCGCCACTCCATCCCGAGAGTGTAAGTGTGTGATTAATACAATATCCACACCCACATGCTCAAAATACAACGATGAACTACTCACAGATTTTTGACACAAGAATATTGTGTCTTCCTAAAGAAACAAAGATTATATTGAAAGATTTCTCATGAAAAGTACCGATCTTCGCAAAAAAACCGGGGATCAAAGGGTAAAATAAAAAATAATTGAAAAAATACTTCTTTATTTAGTTTCTTTCACCTAGAACCTCAATGATCCTCATAATCACTGTGTTGACTCGAATTTATTTCAAAATTCGCTAACTTTAGCGATTTATTGTAATATAATATCACGATTAATCGGCTAAATAAATCGCAATAAACTCATCGATTTTTAAGCAATTTTTACCACATGGGTAATCATGAAACATTATAAACTATGCAACGTAATCCACAATCAATTTTAAAATATAAGTACTCAAGTTTTTGAATTCTACTTTGATACAGTAATGTCTGAAAAATGTAAATAATCTTGAGATTCTAATTAGAATTTTGTATATACAATTAGGTTTGATTTTGTTGTTGTTGAAGCTTCATAATGATTATATCAAGATCGAAAATTTGCATATTATATAGAAAATACACTATTTACAAAAGAAACTAAATCAATTTCAGTATCATTAAAATTAATTAGAGTCTCAAGATTATTTATATTTTTCATACATACTGGTCACATATAGGCTTTCAGTCGAAAGAATAGAACAGTGGGGTTCATATCATATCACCCATTCTAAAGGTCTTACAAACTCTATGTCTCCTAATTCGCGATTAGAAAACATGTGATCAACTTTTGTAATTCTTCATATATTTGTTAAAATAAATACTTTTTCTCCACGTTCGATTCTTCAATAACAAGCATGACTCAACATACTTATTTTCGTCAACGTAAATCAAATACTTATTTTTTCCAAGTTACTTCGATGGTTGGTGGACCATGACAATATTTCATCACTTGTTTTTTCGTTCTCCACGTGTTGTTTTTCAAAGACGTCATAAACAGATAGGGATAAAATATTTCGAAAAGAAGTAGACACCTATAAAAAAATCGTTTTTGGTCATTACTTCACTAATAAACTTTACACAGTAATTCCAATTTAGATCATCCACGAAGCAAATAATGAGCAAAGAAAAATCAACAACGAACACTTCTACCAATTATCCTGATTTGGCTTCTTCCTACATCTCCAAAGCTTTAGTGTATTACAAAACAGGTAATTATCCGAAAGCACTTCTATCTTATGAAAAAGCCCTTGAAATTCAACAACAATCACTTCCGCCCAATCATCCTGATTTGACTGGTTCTCACAATAACATTGGTTTAGTGTATAACAACATGGGTAATTATCCAGAAGCACTTTTATCGCATGAAAAAGCCCTTGCAATTCAACAACAATCACTTCCACCCACTCATCCTGATTTAGCTTATT